TTTTCAGGGAACTTTTAAACAACTTTGACATCAATATGGGGAGAGAAAAAAAATTGCTTTAGCTACATTTCAAGGTTTTAGTCTTCAAGGTCTGAGAATGTTATGATAAACAGCTACATTTCACTGTCTCGAGTCCAGACACTTCTTCATAAAATATGACTGGAGTAAAAACACTGTTAGAACAAGTTTGACTTTTTCCAGAGTTATGAAACTTCATGTGTTGAGCCATTCAACTGGACAGTGTATACAGAGATAGCAGAAATAGTGTTTGACAGATTTTACACTGGACCGAAGGTTAGCGACAGCCTGAGGCACCAAATATTTGGACACATTTTACACTATCGATTTGCAGCTGACTTATCTTTAGAACCTTTTCCACTGAGGTATTCAGGTCAGTTTGCGTTCTTACCCAGCATGCGAACTTGTATGGCATTCTGCTCCGACCTTTTAAATGCGACGGCTCCACACCTCTGTGGCCGAGAGAAAGAGGGAGAGAGAAAGAGAGGCTGAGATTAATATTACAACACCCCAAAATACCCAGTGCTATCAAAGAGCATCAATGAACCTCACTAATAAATAGAAAGTGTGTGAAAAGTCATGGTGACCCTCTTTGCAAGGCTTCACACACAGAAACCTCTGGGATACAGGGCACTAATTCTGACCAAATGATTGTGGGTATTCAATTAAAACCATTTAAATGTAGCATATAAATCGGTGTAATTCATCCTGTGAGGAACCTGTTTAAAGGTCGACTGGTCTGTGTGTTGGCAAACAACACTGGAAAAGTGGGTCAGGCAACACGCTGGCATAAACTGGCAACAATTTAGGCATTAATCACATGCTTCCACATGGTTGGTCCTCATGGCCCGGGGTCATAAGTCATCTTTTTTTTTAGCCTTTTTCTATCAAAGGTGTGTTTGTGTTCAAGTTTAACTCACGTGTTTTCCTTTTTTCTCTTTAGAAAATACTGCTAACAGACATACTATAATAGATCAATCCTTTTCCCACCATAATCTGATCCTACTTAAAGGCTGTTCACAGTGAAACATTCCCCATCGTTACTGAAAGTTGGTTATATAACCATGAACTAAAATTAGGGACTGCAACAAAATGATGTTCATTATTGTTTTGTGTATAAAATGTTCAGAAAATTGTTAATTACGCCCTTGACCATTTCCCAGAGATCAAGATGACATTTTACATTTCCTTGTTTTGTTTTGTTCCAAAATATTCAATTAACTATCACATGACAAAGAACAGCAGTCCAGATCAGTCCATTTGAGCAGCTGGAATCTACAAATGTTTGGCAGAAAAATGACTGCAATGGTAAACTGAATATCCAAAGTGTTACAGTTTAATTTATCCATCGGTGGACAGATTGATGAATCCACTAATGGGTTGGCTTCTTCTACTTCTGATTCATATCAAGCCTCTAATTGTGCGTCTTGCCTTGGCTTATCACCAGCAACACCTTGCCCATCTCTTTTTGAGGAGTTAAATTAATTGAATTACGTCCGCAGTGTGGTAATCAGCCACTGCACCCTGATCTGAGGTCAGTTCCTAAGCCCAATAACAGCCCAAGTCCTGTGCTGCAGCTCAGCTCGGTACATTTCAATTGAGGTCATCTATTTATAATGGCTAGTAATGGCTATAACAGTGATAATGGCTCAACATCTGTGTGCATAGTGGACTGAGTGCGCCGAGCAGAGCTGCGTTAGAGAAACATGAAAGCAGAGGAAGAAAGGAGGAAGGAAGGTGAAGACATGGACACATAACAGATCATACGTTATCTCTTCTTATTTACACTGCCTCCTCTTCCAGTGTTCAGTGTGCCCTCTGGAGGAAGACAGTCATAAAGGTGTACCTTGAGTAGGTGGATTTACGTCTAAATTAGCACGCTGCTGTTTACTGGCGGGCAGGAAACGGGTGGATGGAGACAAACCAGAGGCAATGACGCTTCACTCATCCAGCCCACATGGTTATGGCATGTTTATGAGACGCCCTCCGTGAAATGTTTTTTCCATGATCTCTAGCTCTGTGCTCACATCATTATTCAGCTCAAGTGGACAGCTCTATAGTCCGAGTCTCTCTTTCTCTTTGCTTATGGCCAGCTGCTGTCAAACAGTTTACACTGGGCAGGTCTGTTCCCTCCATCCTGTATGTTCACCAGAGGATGCAAAAAATGGATTTGGAAGAGGTTTTTGACAAATTATAGAGTACTGCTACTACAATGTGTGTGTGTGTGCAGCAGAAACAAACTTTCAATTCAAACACCTGCTGAAAATAATGCACATTGCTGCTGTAAAACACATGTGTAAACACAAAAATAGCAATCTATTTACACACACACAAAAAAGAAACGTTTACAAAGGGATTCAAATTAGGCTGATAAATTGTAGACCCCTTTTAAAACTCCCATTTAAAATGTTCCGGAAAGAAACGTGAATACTAAGGGATAAAGAAGCTGTTATATCCAAATGAGAAGAGCAGATAAAGGTTAAATGTGTGACAAAACAACATTATAATGAAGAGCTGTAGTGCTGCAGAGCCTCCCTGGCCTATAACCCCTGTTCTCCACATGTAAGAAAACAAGCTTGTTTTGTACAGACCCCAACAAATGTCACATCCTCACGATTTTAATCGTTTTTTCAGTGAAAATGAAACCTGTGATGCAAAAATGCCCGTCCCCACTCATCATGAATCATATCACAACAATCAGTAACTTTCAAAATAATCGCAATAGGATTTTTTTTTTTACCGTATCGTGCAGCCCTGATTCAAAATGTTGATACTAGACTAAAGTAAATACTGCCTATGGTACACAATAGGGGAGCGATGACACCAGAGCCATCTCCATGACAACCAAGCAAACTTGAGACGTGTAAAGCTAGTAAGTGAGACCTTGAGTTAAAGTGTTTCCAAGTGCAAGAATAAACTTTGTGTTTGAAAGCCTGTTGAAAAAGAAGCTAGGCAGTGTACCCTTAAATCAAGAGGTTTCTCACAAACGACTGCTTCTAAGGTCAACAATAAGATTTAATGCTCAAATATGCTCATGTACTTACACTGTAAAATAATATTAACAATAATAAACTCCCTAGTTTCCACAATCAAGTTCTGGCACAACCATACATATACTTTCTGTACATATTGTGTACATTAAGATATCTTAATAAGCATGTGTAACTGTTTACACTTTAGAAGTACACTGCAGCATTAAACCAATGTATCACACCTGCCCCCCACTGCACACCTGCCCCCTCCACATGTGCTCTGTCAATACAATGACGTGACACACTGCAATAATACACCCGGCCTACTGTAGCCCACCACTGCAGCTTATAGATGAGGCAATATATGAATTAGAGTGCACCAAAAAGTATTCTTATATCATAAAAAACCAAGGTCACAATAAACTCACTTCCTAGAATCAAAACATTTAGCCCCTATGACAATACCAGGCTACCACATTCATATAGGAATAACGCCATATAGCACATGACACGCACAAAGTAGACTACAATTCGGTCATTATGAACTCTCTTAGGGGCACTAAAGCCACTTTATAGGTCCTTACAGGCACACTTTATGAATGTAATGAATGGTTTTTCGTTAGGTTTTGACAGGCCTCTTCCAATACAACTCTGTGTGTACAAGCCAGTGTGTGTGTGTGTGTGTCCTTCTGGTCCGTATAGCGGCAAAGTTACAGTCTACATACCTCGACCATTAAAAGGGACATTTAACCATCGTGGCCGCTCGTGGACAGCGAGTGAATGCGACGGAACCAGGCGCGTGCGGAGTGTTGTCATGTCACGGGAAGCGCACGAGTGAGCCGTACACAGCAGGACGAAAGGTGACTGTTCCCCGACTGACACCTGTTCATAAAAACCTTTCTATTTCATCCTCGTCCCGCGGTTGTGTGTGCCCGCCCGTACTCGCACTGTAAGGACGGTGTCGGCTTTCTGACTAGGCAAGGTGAAGTTTCCGCCCGCCGCCGCCGCGCCAGGGTCCGCGTGCTTGGTTGTGAGCCGCAGAGAGAGGAGAGGAGAGGGGCTGCGTGATGCATCACAGGGGAGGGACCTGTGGGGAGAGGTGGGCCAATCAGCGCTGGATACAATCACCGATTTTGAGTACAATTGGTTGTTCTCAATTAAATAGTGATTTATTTTGGAGTATTTTACTATGAGACTGAGCGGGAGGGAGATAGTTTGCAAAGGGTATTTCCCAAATAAAAGGTTGTTACTGGCATGGGACCAGGGCCGGATCAAGTCACTAGGGGGGGCAAAAGAGCTGTGGGCCCCTGTTCGCACTATTATTTCTCAGATTCTCTGTACATTGTTCAAATCAAATCAAATTAAGTTTATTGTCACAAAAACAACCCTGTGTACACACATGACAAACTATAGGCTATTGAAATTCTTCTGTGCCAAGGTCCAGAACAAATCTAACAAAAGGGTGAATTAAAAAAAAAAATTAAAACAAATAGATAAAATAAAAATGAAAATAAAATGAATGGTAGACAGACAGGTAGGCCAGCCAATTATTTTATTATGGCCAGATTAAATGATTGGCTTATTACAGGCTTGGACAACCACAGATACCGGATTTTTTTTCTTCTTTTTCAGGAACATTTGATTTAGGCCTATGAGTGCTGCCAGGATTTAACCAAAAAATGCTTCTGAAATACATCACCTACCCTCGCTTTAACAAGAAAGCTGTCTACCAACCAGGCGGTCATGGATCTTCTTATTACGTAAGGATCACAGTTGTCCAAACTTTTCTCAAAGTTCTGTGTGTTTATGAACATGATCGATATGTGTATGGAATTTGGCAATTTCCATCCAAATTATTATTCTGAATAATTTTATATCTTGTGGTAGTTATCAGTTGTGTTCAAACAATCAGTGTGGAAAACACACACAGGCATTTTATTGTGATTTCTGCCTCCCAAGGACTCACAACACATTTGTTGAACTCAACCTTCATTTTGTAGATTTTGAGCACATATTGGCGCTTCTTCTTATGACATCTGTCTCCCAAGGACTTGGGAGACAGATGTCATCAGTTTTGTTCCCAGGAAAGGCAGAAATTCTAGCAGGATTTATTTCTAAGTCGACCAAATGGCAGAGTGAATCTGTCAAAGTTTAGTGAAATAACACTCCTCATCATCGCGTTACATAAGAAAACAAAAAAAAAACAGGCTTCAAGCGAAATGTGTTAATATAGAGTTAAATGTCTAATAGTTTAGGCAACTGTTTATATCCGTGTTTGGAACAGAAAAGGTCTTGTAATTTGGCTCTGCAGGGAAAGCAAAAACACAGTAATTTGGTAAACTAAGTAGAAGTAGTTTTAGAAGAAGTTATTCCCAACTACATTAACCAGACTAGAGTCTGTTAAATATTTTAAAACTTCTGGAAAATCCCATATGATGTGAAATGTATGTTTGATGAAACTAAATACAGCATGGCCGTGGGCTACATTGCAGAGTATGTATCATACAACATTAGTATGCATCAGCAACATGTAGTGTTGGTCATTCTTATTTGTGATAAGACAAACATCCAAAAGATTTCTGCTTGTGTAAAAAAAAATTAATGCATCCCCATAGACATGCAGTGTGTGTTTTTCTGAGATGTTTTAACCTCAATGTTCAGTGTAATCTCTGATTAGTGCTGTCTGATTAGTGTGTCATGCTGTTCATAACAAAATAAACCTAATGTCACTATCTTGCATGTGTATGAAGGCATGTAACATGTCAAATGCTGTCAGTCAAATCCAATTGAACACTAGGTGGTTTGTATAGTTTAAGTACCTTTATGGAACCAGATCAAAATGAAATACAGAGAGAAGCTGCAGCAACAGTTGTTTAAACATGATAACACAATATTGGAACACAGGGATGTTATTACTGCAGTTTCAATGGGCATTTACTTTATTATGCAAGTATATTTTTTAAAAGAAAAAAAATCCAGCCACCATATGCTGAGTTTGCACATATTAAAACCCACAATTGTGGGGAGGGCAAAAACCTGCTCACTGACATTTAGGACACAACAACAGAATTTCAGAAAAAGTCAAGACATCAAGAAAAAGCTTCTATGTCTGACATGATTGCTTTTTTTTATTTATTTTTTTTATTATTTTGTAAAATAGATTAAGTGCAGTCATAAAACAACATGAAAGCATTCTCTTGATGGGCAATACTGACATCTGCTGGAAAAATAGAAGTACATGAGTGAGGCAAGGTCATTCAAAGAACTAAAACTCTAAAACACATGTACGTGCTGCACCATTAACTCTGGTACAATACATTAAATAGTAGCATTTATGTTATGTTCAAGCTGTACATAGTGTCCCTTACAAATAATTCACTCCTTGTCTTGGGTTTACTCATATGTCACATATTCTGTCCACCAGAGGGTTCAGTGAAAGGAAGACATCAGAAGAGTTACTTACGGTAAAGTACTGTGCCCTGGAAAGAATCATATGTAATTGAGCCAACAAATGTTACTTACAAACCTTATTCTTACTGACTATTTGGACCAAATTCTATTTAGTTCTCTTATTTCTAAAGCCTTAACAGGTCTTAAAGTTATTTCAGACTTTAAGTCATCCACCCATTTCATGACAGCAGGCTAAAAATGGTGAAGAAGAAAATGTCTGTGTGTGTGTGTGTGTGTGTGTGTGTTGTGTAATAATATCATACATAATAATATATAACATAGCTCAGCAAGAAATATCCTCACAGGATGTGGGTAGGGTAACAAACTTGCAGGCTGCAAACTTGTTCTGCTGATGATCCTATGCTGTTTTATATCCTGTTACCTTGAAATACAAAGAAAGGCTGTATGAGCTGTATTTTGTAAGAGAGTGAGGTGTTAACTTAAATGTAATATTTAACAGGAAATATGAAGGTATTAAAATGTAATTACTGGATAAATCTTGCAGAAAGGTTTCAATTAATATGACCAAGATGCTTTTAGTGCATTTAGTAAGGGGCCACAGAGAGCCCATAAAATGCTGAAAGGGCAAAAAATTGTCTTATTGATACTTTTCTTGTCAATCCTTTCATGTACATCAATGTTTTATTAGTGGCACTAGTGTCCTGTAGTACAAATAAGGGATAAAGTAATGTGATTCATTTTAAACATTATATTGTTTCTTGTATCTTGGGTTTTACTGTGCAAAAGAATATGTCTTTTCAACGCATACTTTAAGTTTAGTGTGAGTTGAGTAAATTAGGCTTAGCATTAGATCAAGCATATTGGTATGGATTAGGACATTTTTAAATCTAGGACTTTTAATGTCATTCAAACATCCTGTAAGGGGTTCATCGTTGGGTGTGCAAGAGCTCTAACTAAAACTACAATAGAGCATAACCTTAGCTACCACCCATGCACTGACAATACTGTACATGCCTTCTGCACTACAGTAACTGGTTGTATTACTGATTCACAGTATGGTCAATGTATACACAGTCACAAAATATGTTTTTTATTTGAATTAGATGCTTTTTAAATAGCAAAATCTTATGTTCTGGAGATAAGTTCAGATTTACTTCCACTTACAAAGTTACAGTGCACACGTTTGTGTGTGCCTGCTTGTGAGGGATGTATGTTAGGACATACTATACTATGCTATTCTAAATTTATTTATCCAAAAATAATTATCTGACCCAGTATTCTTGCCATCACAATTTGGCCCTTGTCAAAAATCCTTAAATCCTTACACTGCCCCTTTTTCCTGCTTCTAAGACATCAACTTTGAGGACAAAATGTTTATTTGCTGGCCTAATATATCCCATCCATTGACAGTTACCATGATAACGAGATAATCAGTTTTATTAATTTCACCTGTCAGTGCTTATAATGTTATGGCTGATCCGTGTAAGCAGCAAAGGCAGAAGCATAAATTTGCTATTACATGTAAAAGGTGATGGTTGAACGTTAGGTGTGAAAAGCACATCAGCCTAAAGTCACGTCTCCTCACAAATAGGGTTGGTTTGTGGGTTGCATTGCAAAGTTTCCGTTGAGAACTGAAACAGAGAAACTTGCTCATCAGTGGCATGCAAAAAAGGAAATTACAGAAGCCAGACTTCATTTTTGTTTTTCGCCATAGGAAAGGAGCTGGCCTTTTGTTGGGCAGTGAAATGATCTTAGATGGTATAATTCAGAAGATATCTCTAATAGATGTCAAATAGACATAGACGTATCTAATCCAGCTAATGAAGATGGATGTTAATCTTCTGTTTTTTCTCATAGCTGAGAGGGTGGATCAACATGTACCAACATGAACAGAGGAAAACCTATGTTCTGTATTTAAGAAAAGGTATGTATGTTTTTTTTTTTAGGTTTTTATGGGGTGATGAAAAACAATTTTATGTAGTACATTTGGGAACACATGTTAAATCATATGTCATCAGCATATAGGGAATATCTGGGCGGAAATGTGCTTTAAAGTTAGTGGTTACGGTATTTTTGATGGAAGGAGAAAGGTACTTAATAGGCAATATTTCACAGTATTATTTTAGGTGTTAATGTGTTAATTGCTAACGGTGTTAATATTTGCCATTGTAAGAAAAATACATATAGATCGATTATTCCTTCTCTAATAAATACCAAATAAAAAAACCTAAGCCAAGAAAAGTGTAATTTAACTAAACAGCACTTTTAAATGTTCAACATTGCTACACATTAATTAATGTTATATTGCATACGGTACGTAACATTAACGTGGTCTGACGAAACCACGTTGGTGCAATGCGTCATACGTTTGAGTGAAAGAAGGGAGGAACAATGGCGTCCTTCAACCGTGTAAGTTTAAACTAAAATGAACGTATCCGTATGAGAACTTTGTAAAGTATGTGGAAGTACTACAATTTAGGAAGCTACTGTTTGTATTTGGATGTGGATTAATTTTGACCCGACCTGATCAGAGTCAAGTCTGTTCATTTGATCGAAACACTATCATTGCTAGCATGTTGACAAATTCAACATTAATTTATGAAAAATGTTAACGTGGTTCAGATTCATATCATAATATGGGCATTGTGATACATTTCATTTTCATAATACATTTTTGATGATATTGCAGTTTTCCATCGAGTGTGTGGACAATCCTGATGGACTTCCTGGTATAATTGTCTATGACGATAAAACATTCCCCATTTCTTCTCAAGAAGTAAGGTTTATACCATTTAGTTTTAAGTGCACAGTCAAAAGCTATCTAAATATTTGGTCTTGTGTAATGTGTGTTATGTGTTTTGTTTTGTTATTTCCTTCATGGCCAGGATGCCATAGGGCTGGCTGCTTCTGATGATGGACAAGGCCCTTACAGGTAAGGCAAAGCAAATTTATATTTGTATAGCACCTTTAAACAACAAGGCAAGTTAAAATGCTTTCAGACTTAAAGGCATTAAGACCAGATCTAAAAGAAACGCATACCATGAAACTTTAAAAGCCTGTTTTTTTATTTGCTTCAATCACTGAACTCAACCATTTTAAACAGGTGTATATATAGGATGTGCTTAATTCCTTTTGCACAAAATTCTTAATCAGTAAAGATGGGATATACAATCAAATTGTTTGTTTAAACCAATATTAATATTGCTTGTATCAAAATTTGAAAACTATGCATTACAAATCATTATTTTAATCATTTGCTACTTTGGTGCTCATGGTTTCCATAAAATGAATTGAACAATTAATTGTGGAGAATCTAACCGATTTAAAAGGTGTGGCACCTGGGCCCAGATGCATAAAACTCTGTAGCTTTATGACTAAAACTGTGTGTACAGACAAAGGCAGAAATATGCATATGGTTTCTTTTTGTCCGATTTATAAAGTTGTATGTACGCCTGATTCTGTTTATAAATCTCAATGATGGTCAAAATGAGCTTAATTTCCAATCCTACAATAATAAATGGATGTAGAAACGCCCTTAAACCAACCATTTGCATACTGATACTTGTGCCCGGTCCATCACTCATTTGTCAATGAAAGGACCGATGAAAGGAACGACTAAAAAAAAAACCGATCGTGATGCATTGGGCGAGGTTCTCTAAGAATATGGAAACAGCTGTCATTACATGCAACCATTAGACACGTCTGTGGCAATATATAGCACCCCCACCACTAACTCATGTACCTATAAACCAACTGGCACATTTTAATCACACATTCTTTTTTTTTTTAAATACCATTTTATGTGTGGGAAAAGGCTTACACATGGTTTTTGTGCGTACATTGTACTATACATCTGGCCCCAGGCATTTAATTGAGACCTTCTTTTATTTGTCAAAACGAATACCCACTACTGGCTTGTAAATGGGACCTGCGTCTAATTGGGACCCTACTTTGTCTTTAAGTTTTACAGTAAATGTAATTTAAATGGATTAAAACAAAGTAAAAGTATTTGAGGGGTTTAAAAAAAGCTAAAATAGACAGACTTAATACACACTTGTACATGCAATATGGATTTATAATAGTAATATTCTAATCAATATATGTTAATACTAAGCTGAACCTATCTAATTTAACTATCTCTGTGCAATTGTTGCACTGTACAGTTCTGTAAGACCCTTCCAAGTCGCCCATGCCATGGACAGGGATCCTCCAGAGACTGACATTAATTCACTATACAGGTAAAAAAAGAAGAGGTCTTCTTTCAGTCTACAATCACTGTTAGGCTTTTCCTTGGGGCTAGTCATTCATTGTCTTGCATTTTACTGCTTTGAGTCAATTCCATTTCTGCTATGCTTTTTCTTAGTACACAGTACACAGTTAAGTAAAGTATTTGACAATTTGTCAGTCCAAAAGGGGTCGTGGACATGTGGTGGATAGTAGGCTAATTCTAAACTTCTCTGTTGTATTTCCCAGTCTTCAGGAGGAAGAGGAAGAGGAGGAGGAGGAGGAGAATGAGTGGAGAAGTCAACAGCCATCAGGCATAAATGCAACTTATGTATTTAATGAATTTCTGATATATTATATTTTATTTCACCACATTTTTTTCTTTCTTTTTCATTATTGGGTTATTGTAATTGCTACAATTAATGGTGAGGAGCTGGTTTACTATGTGATCTGGATAACTTTGCTTGTTGAGTTAATCCCAGTAGAGTTAGTCAGGTAACTCAGACCTGCTTCATGAAACCTGACTTTTTAAATTGTGTAAGGGGTTAAAGGCCAATTACAGCCTGTTTATTGTGACAAACAATTTAAAGTATTACCTTTAAAGGTAGTGGGGCATACAAAGCTCTCTGAGATTAAAATAGGTAAATCTGTTAAAACAATGAAACTCTATGTCAAGATACTAATGTAAATAAATGTTGCTTGTAATACCTATCAAGAGCCTTTATTTTATGGAGGGCAAACCACTCAAACTCCACACAGTAAGACATTCACAACTGATTACTTACACACTCCTATGGATTAAGGGATAACGCACGGCGTCCATTATCAGGAATTAATGTGCGGAGGACAGTTGCCTCTGCGGAGTCCATTAATTCCTGATTATGGACACCTCGAAGGACATCAAAATCATACATTTTTTCACAAGCCATAACTCTTTGGTAGCACCTGTGAGTTTGACTAATACTTGGAACAATCATTACCACTCCATAAGGTTCTAATGCAATGGAAACATTGTTCACTACTGGAGATATTTCTTGTTCCCTCCGCTCATAGAACCCTTTGGATCAGCTACGAGCCAGAGAGCTAACAGAACAAGAGGGAAAGTCAATTACACTGCCTATGGCTGACAGATGGTAAATATAAGACACTATTAACCAACAAAACAACCTAGTTGTTGTCCCCAAATCAATATCAAGATTTTCACGAACAACAGGACATGTACTGTCGGCCGCAGCCTAAAGTAACAAGTAGTAGTGGACGGGATGTGAGAGGATCGTTTAAACAAAGTAAGTTCAGAGGGGCTGTGTAGGGGCTTGTGTCACCATCCTGTGGTGTTCAGAGGATGAGCCACTGAAGGACTACACTCAGTGTTATGAGATATATAGCTAGATTAAGTTTTCATTCAATTCATTTAGAACAGTGAACAGACAGTTTCACTTGAACTACTTAGTAGGTGTCCTACATTAGGTATTAATAGAGACCCAGCAGCCAGAATCCAGTATTCATCCAGACCATGGTATAACTAGGGTTACTTTTATGCGCTTTCAGTCATTCTTTTGAACAGCACTTTTACCCCTCACATTCAAATATTACAAATATTACCTCAGCTCACAATAAAGCCTCTGCATGTAATTTTTGTGAGAGGAGGTTTTTTTCTTATAACACTGTGTCTCTGTAAAGCACTGTGTTCTGTTGAACCTAGATCCAGATGTCTAAAATGTAAAATCTACTGATTACTATACAAAAGCACAACTTTATCTGT